GGGTGGTGAAGTCACACGAACCAGCAGGTCCTGGCCCAATTGTCCCTGAAGTGCTCTTCCTGGAGCCTGGTGACAGAGGAGGTGGACAGCAGGGTGCCTGCCCTGAGGGGCCCTTGCCCTAGGAAACGGGGACTGCTGGTCACTAGGGAGAGGGGTTAGGAAAGGGGCGAGTGGGACATCCCCCAGCCTCAGCTGGGGCGGGCAAGGATTCCCGGGGAGCAGTGTCCTGGGTAAGGGAACGGCACTGGCAGGGAGGGGCCAGGTGTCAGGAGAGCTGGGGGGGGCGTGCCCCACTGGAGCTCTGGAGTGTGTGCAGTGGCCGAAGGACCCCATTTCAGAGCCAGGGGCCGAACTTCACCCTCAGGTGACAGGACTCCAAGTGAGGTCTAAGTAGGGTAGGGACAAAAGCAGTTTAGATGGGGACAGGGAGAAAGATGGACTGGGGAGACGTGAGACATCTCACAGTCCAGACACCAGAGAGGAGGAGAGCCACTGAAAAGGGGGGCGACAGGCTAAAGTGCCCTGTCGGACATACTGAGCTTCAGGTGTTTGGGGTACCCTGTGCACTGAACCTTTGTCCTTTCCTAAGTCTTTATGTTGAAATCCGTGCCCCCCCCAGGTGATGGTATTAGGAGGTGGGGTCTTTGAGAGCTAAGTCAGGAAGGTGGAGCCTGTGTTAACGGGGCTAGTGCCCTTTAAAAGAGACCCCCGGCCCAGCCTGCAGGCACAGTTGGTTGCAAACTGAACTGTAGTGCTGGAAGCCACATGGCTGACCAATCACACCGGGCACATGAATGCCCAAGATCCTGAGAAGCTGGGGGCCCAGGGCCTGCAGATCGCGGCATGGTGAAAGGGGAGCGTGCCGTGAGGACACTTCTCTCATGCGCGTGCGCTCTCTACTGTGAATAAATAAATTGTTTAAAACTTAAAAAAGAGAGACCCCAGGAGCTCTCGAGCCCTCTTTCTACCACGTGAGGATACAAGAAGAAAAGAGCGGTCTGCAACCTGGGAGGGGCCCTGGCCTGCACCAGACCATGCCACACCCTGACCTCACGCTTCCAGCCTGCAGAGCTGTGAGACCTGCCTATAGTACGCCCCAACTACGGTGGACTGGGGCTAGGAACGAGGGTGCTGCAGTGGCAGATACCTACGAACGTACGAGTGGCTTTGGAACTGGGTGGTGGATGGAGGCTGAAAGCAGTTGAGGTGCACGCTAGGAAAAAGCCTAGATGGTGAAGAGTGGAATTTTCCCGGTGATGCTGGTGAGAGCTCCCAAAGGGTGAGAGACCCCGAGAAAGCATCCACCGTGGAGCACGCCCACGCGACCATAAACAGAACGCTGGTAGAAATATGGACGGTCTCGGGCAGGAACGAGGACCGTGCCACGAGGTGCTGAAGGAAACGTGATCCTCGTTATAAAATGGAAACGACCTTGACTGAATCTGTTGGTGTTCTCGTGTTGCGGGAGGTGGGGATTGCAGTCAGCTGCGTGGGCGTCTCGGCCAGAGGTTGAAGGACTGACTTGGGTCCTCTTGATTTCCTGGAGTAAAATTCAAGAACAGAAAGTGAGTGGAAGACAGAATTATGAAGTCAAAAGAAGCAGAACTCCCGGCTTGGAAAGAGGCTCGGCCAACTGATGTTAGGGAAACTGAGAAGTGTGTTCTGGAGGGAAGTGAGGGCATGGCGGACTGACCAGCCCCGGAACGAGGACACCGGTGTGGGCGTGAGCCAGACTCAGCCAGCCGTCGCCGAGCCGGGAACAGAGAGGGGACTGTGCAAGCAGACACGGCACCAGCAGGGCCCGAGGAAACTGAGATGGACGCAGTGAAGGAAAGGAGGCTGCGGGAAGCTGGAGGGTTATTTGGCCTCAGAATGAATTCACCTGGAGCCTCACCCGCGCCTGATTTAAATGACACTTAAATGACTCTGGACTGCACGGCAGATGCTAGACAGTTAAGACCTTTGGGGTGAATGCATTCTGGATGTGAGGGTAGGAATTCAGGGGCGCCAGGGCTAGAGAGTTATGGACTGAATGTTTATGTCCTCCCCAAATTTACATGTTAAAACCCTGCCCCATGTGACGGCACTGAGGAGTGGTGTCTTTGAGGTGGTTAGGTTGGAAGGATGGACCTCCACAAATGGAATCTGGGCCCTTATAAAAGAGAAAACAGAACTCTCTCACTCTTTCTGGGGATACAGCCCTCAGCAGTCTGCAGCACAGAAGGGGGTCTTCCCAGAATGGAGTGCGGTGGCACCCTGATCTGAGACTTCCAGCCTGGAGAACTGGAAGAAACAAATCCCTCTCTCTCGCTCTCTTTAATTGCTAGAGGGTGTGTGTAGGCTCCAGAGTAGAGAAACAGGGCTCCCCCACCCCCGAAAAGGGCATGGCCATGCCACAATCCTTTTTCCTCCATTTTGCATCCCAGCAGGATTTGAGGTGTACATGTACGCGCACACATGCGTGCACACACACACACACACACACACACACACACATACATGGGGCCAGGACTCAAACCATGGTCAGCCACGCGCCAGCTGGCCTGTCTCTGACAGCACTGAACAGCTGTGCAGGGGCCCTGACTTGTCTTGTTTGTAGACCTCCCATCTGTGACAACCAAGTAGGGTCACCAGAGCAGCAGGAAAAAGTGTAGCAGGCACCAGGGCTGACCGGAGAGTTTGGGTCCACTTTCCAAGGAAGAGCTTGGCTTGGAAAACGAGAAGCCCAGATGCTGTCTCCCACATCCTGAGGGCAACGGCAGAGGGGCTCAGACCTGTCCACGCTAGCCCCAGAGGGGGCCTAGGCGGCAGCTTTAGTGGATGAATGTCCACCAACCTGAGCACCTTTCTAAAATAAAAGCCAGGCACAGAGGGAATGGGTGGGACCTGGCAGAGAGGAGCATTACTGGCCAAAGCCGCCTCCACGACCACCATGATCACAACTGCCTTCTTCCAGATTGGCCAAGGGTCCCTTAAAGACAACTCAATCCCTTCCCCCCAGTATCTGCATCCCCCCAAACCTGGGAATTTGTAACTGGAAACACACGCCCGCTGTGGCTTAGGCAGCTGGCTCCCATATGGCCGGCTGGACAGTCGGAGTCCCACATACTGGGCTTGAAAACCATGCCAGGCGGGTGTGCCAGAGTGCCCCAAAGGAGAATGGAGAAGGGACTACAGCGGCCAGCTCCCCAGGGGTGCCTTCTCACTCCCCTCTCCCCCACCCCGCCCCAGCAGCTCAGGAGCCCTGCAGCAAAACTAAGGGGGGAAATGCCCTCCCCCATGAGGAACGGAGGGAGAAAGCCCCACTCTGCCAGGGCTCCACTCCCGCCCGACTGTCTCCCCAGTGCGCACAAGGGGAGCGGAGCTGGCCTCCAGAAAGTGACACCGGCAGGGTGCCAGTGCCCCGAGTGAGGGAACCCCTCTAGATTTCCGTCGCACGCGAGCAGACCGCACTGCACGGGGGTGGGGTGGGGTGGTGGTGGGGGGGGGTGGGCGTGCCTCAGCCCACGCCCACCTTCGGGACCCCACAAGCGGAACACTTGCTTCCTCCTCTCTCAAGTCCAGCTACCCCTCTGCTCCTTTCCGAACCCGCGGGCGGACCTGGCGAGCAGGTGCATGGGCCCAGTCCTCGACCTCGGGCGCCCGGACTCAGCCCCAGCCTGCGCCACCTCGGGTAGCTGACGACAGCTCGTGCCCAAGAAAGGCGTCGCGCGGGTCCCCTCGCAGTAAGACAGGAGTGGGCGTACGGGGCCTCTGAGACCCCAGACTCTATCGGGCAGGGGTCAGACCGAAGCACCTCACAGGGTCGCGGGGCTGCCAGGGCGAGGCCCCCC